CACGGCTCCCTTTCGTCTAGCAGGCGCGTCCAATCGTTCAACGTAGACAAGAGAATAGTGGTGCAGGATCTACCGGCAATAAAGCAATGTTGACAGTCTGATAGGAGATGGTGAACAGTCAAGTGATCGATTCATCAAGTGGTCAAGTCAAGTGATTAATGCATCGAATCGACACTTCTCCGAACACATCCGAGTACTATGGCCCATTAACCATTCTCACCAACCTCCTCTCCGTCGGTGTACAATCTACATGCTCTTTTCAAGTACCTATCGCTTTCCACTCTCAGTCGTGACAGCTCTCCCGCAGCAGTCACCTCTGCTGACATAACCCGTTTTCTCATGCCCAAAGCCATCACTCATTCTTTTCTCGTCTGGTAAGTACTGTATCACTCATTTAATTTTCAGTCTTTCTCTCTCATACGCTATACACCCTATCATCAGATGTTCCACCGTTTCCTTCTTACCTCTTTTACAGATCTCACAAATGTCTTCTCTTTTTACAACACTTTTCTTTAACTTCACTTCTTGTTGTTTGTTTGTCTGTCTGTCTTTCTGCTACAAATCTTATAATCGATATTTAACACACTTCTAGCTGTCCAATCTATCAGAAATTTTGCAGACTTGTGTAATGTCCGAGACGATGCATCAATCAATTGACTGAATAAATAATTGTGAAAATTAAAAAAAATAATATTGAAAAAATTAAAAAATAATTTTGTCTGCAACAAATCTTATAATCGATATTTAACACACTTCTACCTGTCCAATCGATCTGAAATTTTGCACACTTGCGTGAAGTCAGAGAAAATGCATGAATCAATTGACAGAATAAATAATTTTGAAAGTTTAATTTTTTATACATTAAAAGTGAATTTTTTTAATATTCGAAAATAAAATTAGAAATTCATTGTGCTTGTGTAACATTGGATTCTTTAGAAGTGTTGCCTTTAGAAAGTAATTTTTAAACGTATATTATTTCCTCTGGATATGTGTCAATATGCAGAAAGTGGTAAGTTATGTTTCGTTGACGGTGAATAGCATTAATAAATCACTGTAACAATATGTGCAGTGATCATCTAGTTGAGTTCAGTAGTTAAAAATATATTTAACCTGCATTTTTCGTTTTATTCAAAAAACGAAATAACTCGAATTTTATAATAATTCCTCCCGCGGAATATTGGTGACAATTACCGTCTATACCAGACAAGTCGCCGCTCTAGCAGAAACTGCGCATACCTCGCCGCTTGTCACTCAAGACCGTATAACTCAAAACTACGATTTGTAGGGTCCGATCGCCACATAATAACCAAAAAACAGTTCCTATCGCGCAAGAAAGATGTCGTTCAGTTTTGATTATAAATTTATTTTTATTGAAGGCTGGCGACTGTAAGTGCTGCTGGCGCGGTATCGTCATTAACGGTAGTCCTCTTTTTAATTTCACGATTATCTGTTCTTAATTGAAGGATTTGTTGACTGTTCGTAACCTCTCGGACACTTAGGGCGGCGGGCCCCAAGGTTAAGTGAGCCTAAAATATCAAATTATTTGGAGTGCCCCAACCTTATCGAGTGCCCATAAAATATCAGTTTGGAGTGCCCCAACCTAGTGTCCCTAGTTCCCTTCATTCGATGTGGGCAACCTTCCTCATTTCTTCTATTAATTTGGAGATTAAGGCCAACTTAGATTGAAACTCAGTCCCAAGACGGAACGCCTGATAGTCCCCGTTTTACCAACACCGGAGCCACATTCTGCCGCTTCCATCGATTTAGTCAAAGTTCAATCCTCCCAGAAGTATCGCCGTTACTCGAGAGAGTGTAGCGTAGGAGGGGCAGCTTTACATTATAGGTGGATTCTGGCGTAACGTCGCCTTCAATTCTGCTTACAGGGTCTGGTCAATGTAAAAATGTTTCTTAGGTACGATGGGCGTCAATTTGATTAAATGGAGTCATTCTCGTCTGTAGTTATTCGCAATTTGTTGAAGGCTTCAAGCAGACTTTCCCCTCTCTGTAGTTGTAATAATTTTGTAGTACAATATCTTGATCATCAAGAAAATTCTTAAAGAGTGCGTCTAGCACACTGCGTTTCCCAGGCACCGACCAAAGTTGACCAGTAGGGAAATGCTCTTCAGTGATTAGAACTAACTTCAAATGAACTGCTGAAATGCCTCAAAAATGGGACACGTTTCGTGCAAATATTTCGAAACTTTAGCCCTATGCGTATATAGCATAGCCTATATTGCTACACATAAAGGATGAAACGACAGAGGGCGGAATACAGAGAAAATAGCCTGATGTAAATGAGTCAATATACGAACCAAGAATAACCATTTTAATATTGTTAGTGAGTGTGTGTACTCTTCCTAGTAATCAAATGTATTAATCAAAGTCTGCAGATGTTCTCAACGAAGCAGTTTCCACTGCGACGAGGCATGACAAACTTGATAACATCATGAAATTGTTGCATTTTAGTGCTCTTCATTTAGATAAATCGGACAAATATTAAAATCTGATGCCTCGTGGCTTCTTTCACAAAATTTGAATAGCAAACTTATGTTACACGCACTTTATCCAAACCAAAAAATTATCTCAGGACAAAGCCATGGTAAAATTTTGAGAACGTGCTTGTGAAAGACTACAAAATTTAAGTATTAACGATTTGGGTAGGTACTTAGTGAGGCGCCCGAACACTCCCAAGAGGAAGTCTTTTGGTAGAGATCTGTGGCACGCATATGCGAATAAGATGCTGTATCAATAATGTTCACTTATGCGTGCATAGCTGTCTTCTTTATTCAAAATGAGATTTCCTTCGGGCTAATTGTATTTTATATGACGATAATGAAATTAAGCCTCATTGTGAACAAATTCCCGACAGCGTTATTTTACTAGCTCAGAAGTTGATATGAAACCGAATATGTCAGATTTTTTACGCGCATCGTTCTAGTGATACCATACGGTACCTGCTCGTATCTCTAATAACAGAAGTAAAATTGTTTCATTTATAATCCATTTAAACACATCGCAAAGACTAAATAATACATATTTCAAATATATATAAAAAAATTTTCTAGAGGGAATGGGTTAACATAAAATAAGAAGTTCAAATTTTGTATGGGAGTAAAAAATTAGACATCATACTGAATGTTGATACAACAACCTGTATTGTACGAATTTAGACGCCAATTACACTGCGGAGAATTTTCTGTTGTAATTTTAGCTCATCCTTGTATTAGTTAAAATGGTAGAATTTGTCTTTTCTGAAACTACTTGACTATTCCTCTCTGCTCTAGTATGTCTCCTCTCAGACCTTGCTTTCCTCGTTCTCTCCTCAGCTAACATTATAGAAATAAATATGTGACGTATGGAAGATTGCCGTTTCATATGTTTAACTCTTAATATCCTCTCAATGTCACCACGTTCCAAATCTTTATCCATCAGCTGAAGCACGCTCAACTTTGCCTATCCGCTGAGCACAATTTTGCATAATTTTGATTGGTTCATCAAGTGTTCATTGTTCATTGATTCAGTTGCCTAATTTTCGTCATGTCGCCATTAATAATCGCCAAAGAATTAAAATGATAAGAGGGTTCTCGCGACGAAATATTTATATCATTTATAGAGTAGCCTAGTAGTTACAGTTCCTAAGTAACACGATTGGAGCATGAAGTTGCGGGTTCGATATCAGCTTTCTGTGACAGTCCTGGTCAAAATTGGTGAGGTAGCCGAATAAATGATAAGAGCAAGATTGAAGCAGTAAATAGCGAGTTCGAAACTCCAGCAAGCTGCAAAAATTCAACGATAACGAGAATCGGCGATGGGACAAATTTTGTCTATTAAACGCTGACTCATCAGAACAGATCGAATTTTAGATGTACTTTTTCCGGGAGTTAAAATCCAATTCTTCAAGAAAATTATTGAAATAATTATTCTAGATGCATTTACTTATCGTCAATTACGATATATACGATAAGTGATGTATTAAAATTAAGACATTTTATGTTTCAACAGAAAAAATACCTTGTTTAACATACTATATATCAGGAAGTTGCAAAAAAAAAAACGAGCGAAATATTTCGCTAATTTATTGAAATTTCTTTACAAGTACAAGTATTTGGAAAAAGAAACGTAGTGAATGTTTCGATTAGAGGTGAATATTTACAAAGAAAACTTTGGAATGGCTTCCGGATGGCTTATAGTAACTTAGTTCCAGAGCTGGGCAGCGCTACTTGGAAATGTAGCGGCGCTACCGCTACCGCTACATGCTCTAAATGTAGCGGGCGCTACCGCTACCGCTACATATCCCTCTTAACCATCCCTCTTAACCATCCCTCTTAACCACCCCTCTTAACCTTCCCTCTTAACCTTCCCTCTTAACCACCCCTCTTAACCATCTCTCTTATTATTGCTTATTTGCCATGAGCTCCAATTACGTCTCTTAATTAACGCAAGGGTTGCATTCACCAGCCTTGAGATCGCTCTCATTGTGTCTAATTTTATTGTGCAGCACATACAATCATTTTATATGTTACTTGCTTAGCACCTTTAATTTTCGCTCAAGCTCCACCATCAAATTAACAAACTATCAAATCTGGATTGAAAATATTTTCTTAAACATACACAAAGCTTGAGTTATTTTTTTTGTGAGAAAGGGTTAATTATGAAATTCTAAAGTGAGATGACAAAGGTGGATTGCGAAAAAAGTCCTTACGAACAAAAGATCCAGTGAAGAGACCACAATGACTTTTTGTCCAAATTGTCCCATCGTTTGCGTTATTTAGCAAGAGGAAAAATGCCGGCCGTCAGAATGAGAGATCCATGGCAGGTTGAAATATTGTCTTGTGTTCCAACTTGAAATTTTTTCATCTATATTAGGTATAATGAAATTAACATTATTATACTACGGTAGGTACTTGTTATTTTAACATGCATTTTAATCAAACGGGTATACCATTTCTGTTTAATTTAGTGTGTTTATAATTTTTTATAATATTTTTTATTCTTAACAGATCATAAAAAAGCTCATCGAACAGAAACAAAGCGAAATCCGATGTGTGCACAAAGGTCTGAAATGCTTTGGTGAAGGTGAGTACCAACCAGCCATGACACTGCAAAGCCAATGCCGCATTATGTAAGAGCATAATTTCACTTGAATTACATTTATTAATTCTATAGGAGGTGCTAGGCCTTGTCAGCGTAGTGCCCTGGCTCGCCCTAGGTGTATGAATGACTTTTTGTACGATGACTCCCGCGTATGCTTGTGTCTGAGAGAAAATTCCTCCTAACAGTGAAACTTTCATCAATAAAGTCCCAGGTTCCCAGGGCTAACCTCAATTTTACTGCCAGGAGTGAAGAGCATCCCCATCTCCAGCATACCTGGGATCAGAGAGGCAGGCTGGCGACCTCCACCTCCCCAGCAGAAGAAACCTCCTCAGGAACAATGTGATTTTGCCAACGACGCTGACTATCTCTATGGCCTTTTCAAAACAATTCTCAACCATGTGAGTAGCGATACCGTTTAAAATAATTAGTGCACATTGAAATAAATTAGCTTTTTCTTATTTGAAGCTGCAAGCCCAATAAAATAACATTCATTTCTATATTTCTTCTTCCAAAAAAAAAAAAAATAGATTTCAGGAGTGCAAATAACCTTCCTTCATTTTTATCATTCTCAGCTTCATAATTTAAACAATGACAATTTAATATTTATCAATATAAAAACAGCGTTGATATAGGTACTGAGTAGATACTTGTTGAATTGTTTAGATACTTGAAACATGTGTTTCTTTTTAGAAACATGTTTAGATACTTGTTGAATTTTTCTGATAACGAACAAATTTTGCATTCTTTCTGCTAAGGTTGAAGTTTAAAATATTAAATGAGGTACCGGTAATAGCATATAGAAGTGACAGTTGAAGCAATATTCGAACTGAAGATTATATTGTAATATAACAGTCTGTACACCTCCCAGAGGGCCGAAATAAACTCAATTAGAAGACAAGTATTTAATGAAACATGTCGAGGGCCTCCATTGTATTTCTAACATCAAAAGAGACTAAGATACATCATTTAATAATGCACTGCTGGAAAATTATATCCTTAATAACAAGTAGTAAGCACTAAAACAACAAAAACTTTTTTAACAAATCTGATTCCAAAACGGCACAGTACTGCATCACTACATGTAAAAGGTCCTTATTAACGATATTACGTCTTCTCGATATGGTCTGCTCTTTGATATTCAATCAAAAAGGTTTTTTTGGTTATTTCTTGGTATTCCTTTAATTTTTCATCATATATTAGAATTACCTAGTCGCTAATACACAATTGGTATACCTATCGCAAAATTTAATTAAATAGTTAAAAATGAGATTTTTTACTTGTTTGATATTTATATATTGGTTCTGGTAAGATATGTTGAGTTACACATCGCGAAGAAAATGAACGTAAACGTGCTTATATGATGTTACTCTACCGTCAACGAGGAATGAGCAGCTTGACGAACAATATGATAATTGTCAGATATACTATTTTTTTTAGTAAAACTAAAGTTTGAAAGCTATTCGAAATCGCTCTTCGCATAATTCCATAAGTAAATCGTCAATATTTGAAGGCGTAAAGAAACTCGCGAGTCTTTGACAGAAGTTCTATCGTTTTGATGACATTAATTTGTTGAATTTTGTTCAGGTGAAGAGTCACGGATCCGCTTGGCCGTTCCTGCAAGCAGTTGACCGCAACGAAGTACCTGACTACTACGACCATATCAAGTACCCCATGGACCTGAAAACCATGACCGAGCGGCACAAAGCCAAGTACTACCACAGCGTACGGCTGTTCCATGCAGACATGATGCGCATCTTCAACAACTGTCGCTTTTATAACCACCCAGACACCGAGTATTTCAAGTGCGCCTCTGCGCTCGAGAAATACTACAAACATAAAATAAAAGAAACAAAACTGCTCGATTGATCTGAGCTTAACGATGGAGATGAAGAGTCGTGTTCTAGCGCTCAGAACGTCAAGGTAATTTCAGGCGTCGGTGATGCCGGTGTCGCGGACAGCGGTGAAAATATTCTACGAGCCTCTGACAAACTGATTGAAAATTCTACATCTTCCAGTGACGATGAATAGGATTTGAAAATGAAAGTTCTTGGTTGTCTTCAATCGAAAATGTACATTTAGACTTAGTTTACGGAGAATTTTTTTCTCTTTCAGGGAAGCTGTAACAATTTATTAGATTTCCAATATCAACTGGAAAAGAAACGGTTCTGCTCGTTGTAGCGCAAAACCGTGGCAATAATTTATACATATAGTATCGAGTGCGAGGGAGCTTATAGTTACTTATTATAAGGATTATTATATAGAGGAACATGATCAGGTTCATGCTTCTACACACGTTCACTATTATTTCGTAATCGTGGACCTTTTTTATAATGTCGCACAAGAAAGATCTCGTGCTTCATTGCGTGCTCATGCTCCAGCTTATTCTAACGGCAGAGTATAGAAATACATATAGAGTGTAGAAATCTATACTCTGCCGTCTAGAAAAAAATGTCTCGTGTTGTTCTCCGACCTCGAATTGTTAGGATTTAGCTCCATTGGATGCATCACAGATGGGCGTCCTGCATCCAGTCAAGACAGCTCTCGAATAGATGTCTGGCGCTCTTAAGATGACTGGCGCTCTTATATTTTGGGCGCTCTTAAGGTGACTGGCGCTCTTAAGATGACTGGCGCTCTTATACTTTGGGCGCTCTTATGTTTTGGGCGCTCTTAAGATGACTGGCGCTCTTATACTTTGGGCGCTCTTAAGGTGACTGGCGCTCTTATATTTTGGGCGCTCTTAAGATGACTGG